GAGTCCTCACAGCTCTGGGAGACCTTCATTCATTCCTGTTCTTGTAGGCATTTTCTTTCGGGAAACTCCTCTCTCACACAGTGTTATTTGTGAAAAGGACCAATACCCTTTTTGGTATGCAGTATCTGGTGTGGTTCTGTGTGACGGACTCGTGTGTAATGTTTTGCTTCTGAAATGAGATTCAAATCTGGGGATGGCCTAGAACATGGTTGCAGAGAAAGCACAAATACCAAAGTTTAATGGGGCCCAGGTTTCCTGATGGTAACTTGTTGTGCTAACAGCAGATTCATTTGTTTCCTAATTAATCAGAAAGAGTGTTCTTTTTATTTCAGCCATCTGGTGGAGAGCATGTTGTTTAGCTTCTTGCTACTGCAAATTGGAGCTACACAGGAAAAAGGATGTTTCAACTTCTGTTTTTGGCTTGTTTTTCTAGGTTGAGTCAGTGTAGAGCACATTAAAACCTACAGTAATCACTTGCAAAGTTCATCTCTCAAGGACTGCAAAAATTTAACTTAAATTGTCTTTCCTGAGAAGACAAGATGATGATATTGATGGTTTAATTACTTATTATTACATGTTTTATTCCATGAAATCAATTATCAAGACAAAAGTGAAATTTCCTTAGTGAACTGCAGAAGTATTCTAGGATACTGAATTTGTTACCGCTTTGTAGAGAACATGCAATGTCGCTTTTACATTTCTTCTTTGGATTAGCGTCAAAAACATATTGCCTGTCACACAATTTGTCGTTGAGTGTGCCATTAGCTTGCTAACTCCTCACAAGGATCTTAAAACATTGCATTTTTTTTTTCTCCACAAGTCCCTTTAGCGCAGCTTTCCCTTGGAAGCTATATTGTTCTTGTGGAATATTTTCCAAGGAGCAGTCTGTCCCTATGTGATGTTTACTGTATTTTTTGCCTTGCAGCCAGCAGATTTTAGTACAAACTTGCCTGGGGGTGGCCATGTCCTATTTTCTTCTTAGATGGTTCTGGCATTTATAGAGCTTGGGAGATCGTGCTTCTGAATTTTCCAGTCTGAAGAACTCGAGCCAAAACAGCAGGGGAGATAGCAAACCTGTACGTTGTTAGGCTTACGGCAGCTGGGCCTGTTTTTCCTTTGACCTAAAGCAATGGCAGATTTCCTTGGGTTTTGTGTGGAGGAGGGGGGAAGTGAAGAAGAGGAAAGCCATTTGAGGGAAACTGCTTTATCTCTGTGCTTGAAAAAAGCAAACCTTCCTTCCTCCTCCCCCAGGCCCTCTTCTTGTACCCCTAACAAGTAACTCTGAAGCTGCAGGCCTCTTTTACGTTGCATGTAGAGATTTTCTTTGAGTTAGTTTATGTATACTGCTTATCGATGAAAAAAGGGACTGCGCTTTAATATTGCATTAACATTTTGAGCAATAAACTCTTTTTATGTTGTTGTACTATAGAGCTTGCAGAATGCGTTTTATACTAGAGGGCTGGCTCCTTTGAAGTTTTCAGTGACATTTGATAGCTTCCCTGTATTTTCTCCCTGTATTTTATGTCTTGGTCAGCGAAGGAAACTCTTGCCAAATAGGGCCCAGAATCTCTCCTGTGGAGTGAACTTTGATGAGCAAATGTAGGAAAATGTGAAGTACCCCGCAGATGGGTGGTTCAGAGAACATAACAATTCTTCAAGTTTGGCCTTATGCTCAGAGAGCCTTTCTTGTCTGTAAACACTGTCTCTGAAGTTACCCCCTCTAAATGAGGTTTCCTGTGGAAATAAGTTTCATTGCTGCTGCCTTTAACGTGTCCTAGTCTTATATTTATCAGCACGTTTCAGTTAAGTTTTGCATTTATGTAACAAATATTTACTTGTACCATGAGTAAATTAGTCCTAGGGGAATGGTCTTGCATGTGACTGTTGGAACCTTGAGCTTATGAATTCCAGCAGCATAGAAGAGTTTCCTAAGAAGTTTGTGAGAATGACAGTGAGTGTTGAGACTTAGTGCATGTGGAACACAAATTAACACTGCTTGCATGTGACAAACATTTCCAAGGGACTCCTGATGATTAAGCCAAACTAAACCCCATCATTTTTCTATAGATTGATAGGATTCCTGCTTGTATGTCTACATTAGTGTGGGACAAACGGGTGACAAGTCCTGAGCTTCCTCAACATAAAGAGAAAGAAGAAAATTAATCTCTTTCTATGTTTAAATGTTTTCTGTATTGTTTACTTCATAGTTTCCCCTGCAGATAACGTGGGGATCTTCACTATGACTGTTGTAGGAGAAACTATTGTTTCTGCTGTAGTTCTGGCAAGAAATTATAGTGCAGAAGCTACGTAGCTACTCCTTCTGTGAGGAAGCTGTTTACCAGCTTCATAGTGCAAATGCTCATCCAGAATAAGAATTGTCTTAATTAGCAACGTTAATAAATTTCCCTCCACTCCTCTCATTCTCATTTGCAGCTCTCTTGAGTCACTCAGCGAAATGCCCAAGTCATGTCTCATCCTAAAGGGAAAATTATTTGGACCTGTAAATGGATGCAGAAGGGAAGGGGGAGCATTAGAGCAGATATACGTTAGTCTAAACATTGGGATAGGAAGGGCCAGCAGATACTTGGTGCTGTAAGAACTGCCATCTCCAGTCTCTCTTGGCTTATCAGTGGCAATACTTCAGGCTGTCGGAGTGGGCCAGGAAAGAGCTGAGCCTTTCACAAAACATGCTGGCTTCGAAACTGCTAGGTGTGTTCTGTAGGCAAGTGGTCCAGTTTTGCCTGGCTGTTCTGTATTTATTCTCCTCTCTTCTTCCCATTTTGCAAGCCAGTGTTGCAGTTGCAGTATTAAGCTTTCATTACTTCATAGATTAATTTGTTACCTGTCACTTTACTGAAATACCCTCACCTTTGCAAGCTTCGCTCTTTGTGCATAGGGAGACTATTTAAATTAGATATTAAAAAAAAACAAGTAACCCATTTTCAGGTGATAATTGCTCACATTTTCCTTTACCAATCCCCTCTTTTCAGTACTGGTTTTCTTTGTCTAACATGAACTTTTTCTGCTTTTTGTCTACAAATACCAGTGGGCCATAATGAATTCTTTTTTCACATCTTCCCCCTATTTTCAATGATTGTTCAAACCCTCAAGGCAAAACCCAGACAAAGGACCCTCAGACTTCTGTGAATGTTCTCTCTTGGACTCATCTCACTTTGTCACCGAGTGTAATAATTCCTATAATTTGTCTTCTGATATTAATACTTCTACAACTGCCCTGAGGAACAGATTTCCTTCCCATGTTAAACTTACTTAAGGAGGCTGTAATCGTGACTTACTAATTTTTCCCTTCTTTTAATTTTCTCAAGAATGTCTTCCTTAACATTAAGTAGCAGATATGGTAGACTCTTTGCTGGTATTAATTGCTGCTTAACCAAGTGCCCTTGAAAGTCAGTTATGTAAATGAGCAGCCTTGAGCTGGCTGTAAGAAGGAAGCTGGCTTGAGTTTAATTTAATAATTGAGGAATTGGAACATAAAATGGTTCTTTAAATCTAAAATAGGATAGAGTCATAGTCTTTATTAGACAAATTTTAATTGCATGGACTGTGATATATCAGCGGTTTAACAGTTTAGGTGATCACTTTGCATGCAGGTTAGTACTTTGGATACAGTTATTAGGAGAAAGCATTGCATTCATTTGCCTTAGGTATTTTTAGTTGAGTATTGTGAAAGAAATACTAATTTCTTGTGACTTTAAAATACCAACTAGAGCCTTTCTTGAAATACATTCTTGATGTCTGTTTTTTTCCTTTCTTAACTTGGTTATCATAAAAGTCACGATTCGTCTGTAAAAGTTGCTTGTATTTTTCCTGAAGATGCATTATGAATCTCTCAGCTTATCAGAAAGTACGTGAGTTCTGGACAAGAGAGGGCAGGTAATCCAAATAACTGCTTTGTCCATTTGGGTAAAGGTCATTTATTGTTGAATACAATGCATGCAAAAATTGATGGATGCAAAGTTATTTGCAAATACAGACTTGGCAAACCTCCTCTGGAATTCGGAAAGGGTTTTCCAGCTCGACTTAGTCATTTTTTCCCAAATGTCTTGGCATAACTGATCGCTCAGGAGTGACATATGGTAGAAACATGCTCTAAGGGACAAGTCTCCTGGATGGCGCACAGCACCACACAAGATAGACAGATGGTGGCTTATTCAACCTTGGAAAAAGTTTAATCCTACATATTGGCACGGCGGCCTGGGTACTGAGAGGCAGGCACACACATGCCTGTGAAATCTGAGGCAAAGCTTTTGTGAGTTTGCTTGCTGTTACTGAAAGAGCTAGAAAGACTGAGCTGGTATACAGCATGAGTATCTGCAAAATTGCATGTTCAACATGATATCCAACAGCAGTGATGCTCCCTAGAAAAATGGAATTCACACAATTAGCAGAGAATAAGTTTGATGAACTCTTCACAGCTGTTTCTAGACTAAAACACGTTTATATGACAAAGTTGTTCAATACTTAGGTTATCCACCAGTAGCTGTTGATTAATTCAGGTGTCTAGTAGGAGACAGGATGTTTTATGTTTTTCATGGTTTTACTTTGTTTCAGGGGTTGCTATTGGTTTTGTGAAGTGTGTTAGTATTTCACAGCTAGGAAACTAACATTTCTCTTCAGTACATTCAGACAAAAAAATTACAAATTCCCTCATGTTAAATTAAAATTTATAGCAGAAAATGCAAACTGTGTGTTCCAATTTTTTAAAAAAGCAGCAGAAGAACATCAGGCCTTTTGCTTTTAATATCTTTGTGTTTAAGACTGTGGAGAGAGGGACATGGAAAAATGGATCCTTAGTGTGGCTTGTTGAGATACCCGGTGCAGAACAAAACCTGCATTGAATTCTTTCTGGAAACCAAGCAGTGATTGATTGATTGATGGATTGATCTTCTGGAGTCAGGGCCTTGTTCTGTAAGGATTTTGAAAATACTGACTCCCTGAGAGCTTGCCAAACTTTTTTTCCTACTTTCTTTTTCTTGTAGATTACACTCAGTATTCACAACTGGAAGGAAAGGCAAGAATCTCTTGACTCTCTGGACTTCAAGGAAATCATTATGTTGTATTGGATGAGTTTAAACTAGACAAGACTTCTTTATGAATCACTTCTGGAAAGGTAAATGTAATTCAAACAAACAGATCTTTTGCAAGTAGAGGAATACTTGGTCAAATTAATTATGTGCCAATAACGTTTCAGCCATACCACAGCACAACACCATGATGGTTTTGATTCATATTTTACAGCAATTATATATATGTATGTGTTGACGTATGTGTATGGATACATATCCTTATAGATAGCTATAGCTAACCCTTACTAGTAAATTTTAGATGTTGGAAGATTTTGCTTTATTAGCTCTGGTATTTTTTGTGGAAATATGTTGGTTTCAAGGAATTCTCTCAGGTGAAAAAGGTGGGGAAAGAAGAGGGAGAGAAGTGAGATGCTCAGAGTATTCAGCATATTGGTAATTATTTGCCTGGATGTGGAAGACCCAGTTAATGTTTCTGTTCTGCCTAGTGAGAAAAATTACTTGAAAATGGGTTCCTAGCCACTGAACTAGAAAGTCAGATGGCTTATTCAGCACTGAGTGACACATACTTTCAAAATATGGTGTGGTATAAGAGAGACAGAGGGCTGCGAAGAGACTAATTCAATAACCTGTTGTTTAGGATATGCATCGAAGAAGCAAGAGATACCAAATTCTTGCTTTCAGCCAAAGGTGCTTTTGTGTAATACAAGGTATTTATACTTCTGAGCTAGTAAAAGTAAACATTCACTCTTCCTGGGGATGTGAGTACTTTTCAGGTACATATTTTCTTGTCACACTTTTCTTTCTTTTACTGTGCTCCACTGTAAGAAATGGTGACTATACTGTAGCCAAACGTGAAGGCCTACAGTAATCACTGCAAAATTAGTGCACTCTTTTGGATTTATTTCTTCTTCTTTTTTTTTTTTTTTTTCCCTTCTCCTGTAATTATTATAGGACTTTGTCAAAAAAATTGTAATAATTAGATTTTGTGCCCAAATGCACAGTCAGCAAAATATGACAGACATCAGTTTACTCTGTTCCTAGACCCTACAAGAGTTACATACACACTGCACAGGAGTGAGTGTTTTGCTGACCCATCCAGCCCCCTGTGTCAGTCCTGCTTTACTGTCATGAAGCATGCCTGTGGGCCTTCCAAACATCATTTATTTGTGCGAAAGAGAGCTGCAATCTGGTGAGATGATTAAAATTCTGCAGATACACAGCTGACACCTTTTTGACCCAGATCTGAAGTTCAGACTTGGAAATACTTCAGTCCCTTGAAATTTTAAGTCATGCTTCACAGAACTGCTGTTTTTATAATTTATAGGCTAAGTGTGATAATATCATTGTTGAAACGCTGAACATCAGTGTGTGTGAATCAGCCATCTGCTGTCAGGGCTGAGTCTTGTATCTCCCTGGCCAGTGACAGTGGAGGTCATTAAACCATGATGGGTCTCTGTCAGATGGGAATGGTTCAAGGTAATAACATGGCTGTGTCCAAAAAAAAAAAAAAGCACTTCAGCCTACTGGTAGTAATGACACTTGGAGGTCTGAAATAGGGAAAGGGGAGTTTTAATAGGGGAATGGAAACTGTATGAAGACAGGGATGTGAAAGGCTTGGATGTTTGAGAAGAACAAAGGATGGCTTTTGTAGCTGGGTTTTTGGGTTAATTGTGAACCAGATGAGGAATGGAGAAATTACACAGGGGAGAAGCAGCCTTTAGGATTTGGAAAAGAAGCTGCATACAATAAGGATTTTTTTGGAAGGCTCTGACCCTTAGGTCACTGACCTAAGAGCGGTAAGGAAACAGAGGTATAAAATGCATGTAGTCTCATTTTGTCTAGACTTGCATACCTTGTATATTTTCCAAGTGGAGATGCTTGGGTATTTTGGAACTCGTACAAATACCGAATGTCTTGGAAACCTAGCATACCCACAAGGTTAGATCCTTGTGTTAAACTTGCTGTGAGATATGGGCAGGATGTGGGGTAGAGCTAACGATGGGATCCTGTGCCATCTTGCTCTGCCAGCTCCTGTTTCTTTCGAGATAGGGTAATCAATACCAAAAAAGTCTAATGCAGAAAATAAGAAAATTTGACAGAAGATAACTGATCCAAACCAAGGGAGACCAAAGATGGTTAAGAAAGGACAGACATGACTGTGTGTGCGGTGGTGAGAATTCTGCCATACTAGCTCATGCGGATTGCTGCCAGGCTGTTGAGAGAGACCCTGAAGTTAAGATTGAGCTGACACTTTAAGAATCAGGTCTAAGATACCTGGCTGTACACCTCATGGATTACATTTAGTCTTTATTTGTTGCAGTGAAATCCAAAACGTACTCTTAATAAGTATATCCAAGCAGGAGGAAAAAACAATTTAAAAATCCTAATTTAGTCAGTAATCCAGTGGTAGGAAATTGTCAAGTTGTAATTATCTTCTATATTTTCTATACTCCCCCCATCTTGTTGGGAGATTTTTAGGTATTAATTTTTAATTTAGTACTTAATCTTCCTACTTTCTTCCTCTCCTTCTCCCCCAAAACCTCAGACCCCAGTGGTAAAAAAATGGGATGTATCCCCATGTAGGTCACGATGTGCGCTGGAGGTGGTGCACCTCTGTTAAAATCTTAAATGCAGGTAAAGCTGAAAATGGCTGCAATCACTTTTATGCTGTCTGTCCCCCTTTGTTCTCTCTCCCTCCCCCTTCTGCTTCTGCTCACTTGCTCTCTCTTTAGTATAACACAGTTGAACAGCAGTGAAGTGTAAAATGTGCTTTTGCCAAGGTCAGTTTCTTGTGATTACTCGCCTGTGGCAACTTATGCCAGTTGCAACAGACTGAGTCTCAGCAGTCCACAAAGTCACACTGGTGCTTGTGCAGAGGACACCCAGTGTAGGTTATAGTAACCGTAGTCTGGAATAGCTTGCAATGCTGCTGAATTTTACCAGCTTTATTTAACTCTTCCAATCTAGTTTGTGCTCGCTTCAGTGGATTGGAATCTGTTTCATGATGTGCTAGGTTGTCCTGTTCTCTGGAGACCCTCAGGGAGGATTCTGTGTAGATGAAATCCTTGTTGTTAGAGGTGGTTTCCTTTCTTACAGTGGATTGCTCAAATTTCAGGAATTATACATTAAAATAAAACATCACAGACACATACATCTTGTAAATTTGTGTGTGTATGTATGTGGTTGGCTTGCTCTTGAAAGTCATATCAGATACTGCTGAAGCGAATATCTGCATAGTAAGAAGTATTACAGAAAAGTTTAAGAAGTAGCTTTTTAAAGAAAGAGCTTCAAAGATAGTGACACACAGTCTTTGTACCACCTTTAAAATGTTGTATATACTCACAAGCATCAAATAATGTTTTGTTTAGAATATAATACTGATTTTGACTGCTGTGACTGGGGAGCAAATGTGAGATTCAAGAACATCTCTTTTAGGAGATAAGATTTGTTGGATCCTATTTTGTTGTGCACACTGGATTGGGTACCACCGTGTTACACAGTAGAAGTGGGAGGGATGTCCACCTTCATTCCCGTTTCTCATATATGAACAAACATATCTCTTTATGGAAAAAATGTTATATTTAGAACAGAAAAGCATGGACTTGCTGGGTTGTTTTGCTTATTTGTATTTCCTGGGTTGTTTTATTTATTTGTACTGTCATCAACAATTACATGATTTTATTTTCACTCTGGAAATGCGTACTTTTCTAAGAAGCATTTAGGTCTTGAGTTCTGTGATAGTGACTTTCTTGAGTTCCATTATAGTGACTTTTTTAGCTGATAGTTACCTACCTGTCACTACTGACAAGTTGAGAGGCAATAACACATCTAGATGATCAGCTGAAGGGCTAGAGCAGAATTTTGGTGACCTTTGTAATTCAGTTAGGTGCAAAATTCCATTGCTTAAAATTGGTATGCATTTGATTAATATTGAAACTGTGTGTTGCTGTATTAAGCACTGCTCTCTTGTCTTTGGTTTGGAATGTTTCCTTAGCACAAGTAAAATAATGAGTCAGCAATTGAGTTTTGATCCTGTAAACACCCTTGCACAAAGTGTACAAGAATATTCCCATTGCGCTCAGTGGAACTCCCCACAAAACAAGGTGAGAATTCCAAAGTCAAGTGATTTGGAGCACTGCATGAAGGGTTTATCCTGTATTTTCTGTTTAATCTTGCTTCCAGGTTCACAAGAAGTATTTTTATAGAGGAATATGTTACCTGTTGCTTTTTTGTATATATGGAAGACATTAAATTAACCTTTTGTTGCAAGTGTGTGTTAGATTGACATTTGCTTCTATGGTTTTCATAGCCTATATAATTCTATTACGATTCCAGGTCCTATTTCTTTGCTTTTAATAACATTTGTATTGGCCTAACTCTTACAGAAGAATGTGCTATGAGATCTATGTTCACACTTTGCGATGGTTGATCTGTCTACTTTAAGTTGGAAATTCATGGTGGAAATGAGCAGTGTTTTGTGTGTCTGTGCTGTGGTATAGCGGCCTACAGCACTTGCAGTGATGCACATTGTCTTCTTACGGTTAGAGAGAGAGTGGAAATGAGTGTTACCTGTAGGAAGAAACAACTGTACTAATAGAAGCTGGTCTTCAGTCAGCTGAGAAATGAAAAAGTGTGTTCTTGAGTGCAGTGATACAGAAGAGTTGCATTGTCCATGCTCACCACAAATTGTCCTGCTAATTTCCTTTCATCTTAAGGAACTTGAGGAAAGAACTGTTCAGACACTGAAGTTGGTTTTGAAGCATTCACTATGATGTTCTTGCATTGGGCTGCTGCTGCTGCATGCTCTGAGGATTTCCTCATCGGTATGTTCAGCACGAGCAAGCAGCTGACAGCTGAGATTGAAGAAGCGTGCACAAACCCTGAACTCATTCAAATCTGTGTGCAGACTCAGAGCCAATTTTAAAAAATTTATTAGAACTTCAGTGTTTCTCAGGTTCTCACCTCCTGATTGCAGGTGATGCAGGAGTGCTTTGCTGCAGGCAGTAAAGCTGGGTGTGTTTAATTCTGGACGAGTAAGAATCCAGAGCACTTGAAGGCTTGCAAGATTTGCATCCTCGTTTTT